ATGTAATTGGATAAGTATAAGTAAGGTCATTATTATAATGTTGTTTTTTTGAAATTGCTTATATGTTTGCATGCTTTCAACTACTTGATGTTTTTTCTATTAAAAGACATGCATTAAAAATGTTTAGTAATATTTGCTTTGCTATTTTGGATAAATGTTTTAACATTTTGTTTGAAATTTCAGAAGGCCTTGTGGCTTTGTGAATTGGTAAAAAGGTTATAATTTTTGTTAATTCTTAAAAGTTTATTGGTTGTAACAAGCTATTGTATATGTTGAAGTTAATGTCTAATAGAAGTTGTAAAGCTGATACCTATTTATACTTGAATTGAATATTTGTTAGATTGTGTTTAGTCCAATTGTTGAAATGTTCTCTTGTTACTTGTTTTATTTCTTCTGGGTTATTAATTATTTTGTCTAGTGTTATAATTTTATCAAATGACACCTGGTCTTAATTATGTTTAAGTATACTGTTTATTAATTGTAAAGTATTAGTCTTCATATTATTGTATCTTCTTTGAATGTAAAAATTAATTTTTTTTTTTTAAGCATTTTGAATTTCAAGGCTTCATGCTTTCTATAAGGTCTTCTGAAAATGTTTCAAAGATTGCAAAAAGAACTGATAGTTTGATGTAATGTCTTAAGTTTAACAAGAATTGATGACCTGATTTGTGTAAAAGGATATTCATTATAGTAGGCTATTAGTGTTTTTTATAACAAAATTTATTGTGATTGGTGATTTTAAATGTCTAATATCATTTAGACATTTGTTTGTTAGTTTGAGTGCCAGATGTAATTTTGTTGCTTTAAGAGAGTAGGTATAATATGTTTTATAAGCTGTATAAGTTTTTGATATAATTTGATTTGCAACTTTTTTGATTAAGTTTGACTATTTGTTCCAAAGTTTGTTTAGTTGTTGTATTGTTATAATGTTTTGTGTTGAAGGTATTAGTTTAAATTCTAATTTAAGTGCATTGACAAAGTCTTTCTATTTGTCTGTTAATATTTGATAATATAAATATATTTTTCTTTTTTTCTTTTTAGATTATGATAGTTTTAGTTAAAAATTTGTTTGCCATGTAGTAACAATTATTTTATGATTACTGTTTGTAATATCTACTAAATCAATAATTTTGGATGGGCTGAAGTCTAGTAAAATCTCAGAGTTAACCCATATGTCATCTATTGACTTTGGTTTAATTATTTTTGCCATGTAGGTTCAGTTATTGTATAGAATTCTATTAGGCTAATAGATGATAGTGATTGGACTATAATAAAGAGATTTGTTGTTTGTTTAAAGTAGTTCTAATTATTATTAAAGTTACCTATTGTAATTGTATGTCAGTTATAGATTCTTGCTTAAGATAACTAATTGTTGACTGTGTTTTGTATAGTTTTAAGTTGTTCTAAATAGTTTAATAGAAGGTATACTAAGATAAGACAAAACTTATTATTTGAAGGTAAATGGAAGTCAATGCTTATTGCTATGTTTGCTACTATTTATATATTAAATATATAAGATTGAAGTTTATAATAAAGCATGATCATAGTTCCTATGCTAGCATCATGTTGAGAGTTGTCTTTTGGTTCAAAGTTAGATGTATAGATTTTGTAAAGTGAATTGGAGAGTATTGAAATAAAAAAGTTTTTGAGTTTAGTTTCTGTGATTGAAACAATGTGATAATTGTTTTTGGCATAATGTTCTAGCCAGATCTGTAGTTTCAGTAGTTTGTTAAGTCTCTATACATTGTGAGTTACAATATTAAGATGATCTTTGATATTTATAAAGCTTTTATTAGAAAAGGTTTGTAGTATATTAATAGAATTGTTGTTGTTTAGTTGAAAAAGTGATGTGTTTTGTTTTTGGGATATTGAGATTGGATTATTATTTTTTTTTGTTGTTGTCATTTATTTTGCATATGAGCAAAATATTTCCCAGTTCAGTTCTAGAAGAGGTGAGAGTGTAAGAAGAAATTCAGGAATTTTTTTTATTGTATAGTATTCTTTTAAGGTTTTTAGTGTTTCAGTTGCTTTGTTTTGTTGAGTAATAGGTAGGTCTAGATTTGTTATTTCTATATTTTTTGTATTTAGTTTTTCTTAAATTTCCTCAATTGAATTTGAAATTTCAGGTTTTTAATCTAATGATATATCAGATTCAATGTCTTGTAAATGTGCATTATTAGTTATTTGAATCTAGCTTTCAGGTATAAAAATTTTAATTTTTAAAAAGCATTAACTCTTTATAGTAATGAAATTTTGAAAAGATATTTGGCACATATATAGAGCTGATATAGCTCTATAAAGTTACCAGATGGATTTTTTTTAAAACCTCATATATAAAAAGTTATAGTTATTTAAAAATTTGAAACATTTCATGTAACTGTTAAGTATAAGCTTCTAGTACCATATTTGCAATTATATAAATATTCTTAACAACTAAGTCTAGTATCACTTAGTCATCTTAATAGTACCTAAATGCAACCTGTCATATTATTTTAAACAAAATTAAGCTCTTGTTTAATTACTTAAAGTCTATAATAAAAAAGTCTTTAATAAAAAAGTTTTTTCTCTTTTACAACAAGCTTAAAATTGTCTTTTATGTTTTTATTCTAATTTGTTTCTCTTTTTCTCTTGTTTTTTTTTCTTTTTTCTACTTTTTACTAATTTGTCTTTTTTTCTTTACTTGGTTCTAGTTTTTTTTTTTCTTTTTCTCTTTTTAACCTATCTATTATTCTTACTTTACCTTTTATTTACTAATTTTCTTATATCAGATTTTTTATACTTATTCATAAAATATATCTTAAACTGTTTTTGCTATTATATTTGCAAACTGTTATCTTGATTTTATACTTAAAAGCTGTCTTAATCTGTTTTGTGTTTTTTTGAAAATTAGTCTTTAATTAGTAGCACTTTTATTTTTATTTTCTTTGCTTTTGTTTTTTTAAAAAGCACTATATATAACATATATAAAGAGATCTGGTTTTTTCTTTTTCTTTCAACTTCTTCCAAGTTGTTGCAATTGCTACCAAATATGTTTGTATTTTTTTTACTTTATCTTAACATACTTGACATTTTGTTGTTATGTATACATTTGACTTTTATTTGTTAAGTACTTCTAAGGATGAAAGTTTATTTATTATATATTTTATAAATGCATTTCTCCTGTTATTACTTCTTATTGTTGTACAATATACTTTTTTAGTCTTCTTTAGCCTTTTCAAAAATATGTCTAATTATAAATCATAATTTCTGCTTTTAGTTTTAAGTTTTTAATTGCTCTTGTTTTCTTTTATTCTACTTTTAATCTTGTATTTATTATTAACTTATATAGCAATTTTGTGAATATGTTGGTTTATTTGTTTTTCTATTCTAGGCAGTATTCTATCTCTTTACAACTGACTTCTTCAGTCTGTACTATTTTTTTGTATATTGCTTCTTTCTTTATCAGACTATTTACTTTGTTATTTTATTTATCTTTATTATAGCTTTTTACTTTAACTAACTTTATTTAAATGTTTTTTATTACAATAAGGTCTTTAATCTTTATTATCTATATTGTGTTTTTCTTTTTAATAATCTTATTTCTATTTGCTTGTTTCAAACTTCTACTAATATTTTTTATTGCAGTCTTACTATTTGTATATATTTTTAGTTATTTTTCTTTAGTATTGTTAAGATTGCTACTTATATTGCTACTAGCTTAGTTATTATTAATGTTTGCTATCCTTTTAGATTTAGCATTATTTTCTTTTTTGGCTATTCTTATATTTTATTTGTTTGGATCCATCTTATAACTATCTTATTTTTAGTTATTATATCTTTTTTGGCCTTTATGCTTGCATACTGTCTATGTATATTATATATTTATTTTTGTTTCTTATTATGTTCTTTTTTAAAACTTCTATTATTTTTTAATAAATGTTCTTATTTAGCTTTTGTTATTTAATAATTTCTATTTTTAACTCTTTTATTGTTCTAATTTCTTTAAGTTTTTGTTCTTTAAATTCTAGTCTGTTTGTTTTTACTGTTTTTGTTATTTGATCTATTGCTATATTAATTTTATTACTACTTTTTTTTATTAACATGTCTGAAATCATATTAATTTTATTGTTTATTCTAATCTACTGTTGGTATCTATTTTTTATCTGTTTTTTTACTTTTATACAACTTTATATCTATTTATTTTAATGACTAGTTTATTTTCTCTACTCTGTATTTATTAGTATTATACTAAATTTTTTTTTTAACTATTTTTCTCAACTTCTATTCATTTTTTTTTTGTTTATCTTCTGAGATACTCATTTATTTAATTTACATTGCCTGAGTAGTTTACTTATTTGTTTTAAAGTATCTTTTTATCTCTCTACTTTTTGGATTACTAAGCACTTTTAGTTCTATTATTTTGAACTATTCTGCTTTTTTTTTTTTGCTTAATAAGACTTGGTAATTTTTTAGCTATTGTCATATAATTAATCTTTTTTTTCTTATATTAAGCAGCTGATTTAAGTATACTAGACCTGCTTTATTTATTTCAATTTTACTTTTTTTTTATAAACAAGTATTTATATATTTATTTATTTTAGTGCTATACTCAAATATTAGTTTTTTTTTAGTATTAAGATGATCTTTTTAGTTTTTTGATTTTTTATTAATAACTTTTTTGATAATGTGATTTAATAAACTATTACAAAAAAGCTTACCATATTGGCAGATCTGCAGGTCATCTCAAATGTTTTAATGCATCTAAATTTGATATAGATTTATAGATCTACTGTGCGTCAGTTATTTGACAAATATAATAACTAATTATAACTAAACAGAATAATTTCAGTTTAACTGATTGCCCTGTGTAAGAGGAATTATATATTTTAGAGTAAACTCAATTATTAACATGTAATATTGACAGTTCCTTCTGTTTAACCATTCAGGTACATATCACAGAATCTATTCCAGACTGTTTATTATAAATGCATGTAAAGTTTTTTTTTTAATGCTATAATATTATGAACTTTCAGAACTCTCAGCTGTTTACTAGACCTGGGAGATTTATGGTAATATATTTGAAACTAGAGACTGGATCTTAAATCTGTTAAAAATCAAGCACTTATCATATATTACTTTTTTTTGTCTTTTTTGAGTATTACTGCTAATTTTTCTTGTATGAATTTCAGTACAGATCACCTCTGGGCTGGGCAACACGATATATAGATTGTGATCACAGCTATCTAGATAAGCTCATTTTATTCACATTGAGCTAGGTGAGGATAAAGCATCTCTTATTCTAGATATTTAAAATTAACTATTCAAATTAATGAATGCTTACTATTTAATTTTATTTTATTTGCTTTAATTTAGTGTGAATATAAAAAAATAAGATATTCAAGTTCATGAATTTTTGCTGTTTTAATTTTACTTTATTCATGTCAATAAGTCAATAAGTATAAATTATTTATATTCAAATTTAAGTATTGCATTAATAACATAAATTTCAATTAATAAATTTATTCTGATTATAAAAAATATATACAGTATAATGAAGATAACACAAGTGAAGCATGGTGTTAAATATATAATAGAAATAATGATATTGACAATTACATAAGAGTTTTAACTTTAGATTAAGCATTTAAATGTATGATTGAATAGATTCTATTAACAAACTAGGCAGTATATATTAAAAAAGATGATAAAGGAGGGTTTTGTATTTTCTGCAGCCTATGGTAACTAGATAGTATATGAAGACTAATAACAACAATGTATATATAAGCACTTGTAAGCTATCTAACTGTCACACTCAAGATCTTATCTAGTTCTAATAAAAATCCTTATAGTTTTTTAGGAGGTAAATTAAATTATTCTTTATTATATGGTTATTTAACGCATATTTGATTTATAAAATTTGATAGTCTCAAAATGTAAATTATAGGATAATAAGCTTAAGATATACGGATTGACTTAAAACAATACTTGAAGGTATTTTGATATTCTAGTAATAGACATTTTTGTAAGTTGTCGATTCTAAATTTGAATATAAATGTATTAACTAGATATTAACTAGTATATTGCAGCTGCTGAATAGAAGTTAGATTCTTATTGTAATGCTGGAATAATTAAAAGTGCAAATCTTGAAACAGGTATAAATTAATTTAATTCATTACAGTTTAATCATGGAAAGCAAATTCTTATAATATTGTAATAATTAATATAGATAATGATAATATTACCATCTATATAGATTAATTTTATTTTATATTCATTATCTTTATTTTTTAAAATACATTATTTGATTGGCTGAAAACATGTGACTTCATTTTAATTTTTATTTAACTATACAATATTGATCTTCTGTACGTACGTATATACTATGTATATACAATATGATGGTTTTAACATTAAATTATACCTTAATGCCACCATCTATTTTAATATCATCAAACAATTAAAACATAATTTTTTGTTTTCTTTGTGGACAATATTTTAAAACTTCAGATGGTCTAGCACGACATAACACTATTATTAAAAAATACAACCAGTCTTCTAAAATTGTGCGAATTCCAAAAAAGGTGTTAAAAGAATTTAAACAAACCTTAGTTTTTCTTATTCACCAAAAACTCTCTAATAATTTTAATCATATGGGACATCAAAGTTTTCATGTTCTTTGTTCAAAAAGTTTATTTTTTGAAATATTTCGAGGCCACATTCATTATTCCAAGGCTAATGTATATAAATGCATTTTTCGAGGACAAAACATGTATCAAACTTTAGCTCAAGTTTTTGACTCTAATGAATAGGGACGAAAATTCTATAAGCAAAACCAACAAACCTATATAGTAATTCGAGAAGAATTTCAATCACTTAATAAATCAAATACGCTTATGGTAGAGAAATCTGAAATGGATATTGATCTACTTTTACAATTGGTAGTGAAAAAATCTCAAAAGCAACATCGCAAGCCGAAGTTCACCTATAGTGAGGTTTTAGTTGAATAGCATTGTAAAAAAAAAATTGAAGAAGATGAAACAGTTTGTGTGACAGAATTTATTTACTTGCATTTTTTTATTGAGCAAAAGAGAATTTTGATGTAAATATTAAATAAAATGCATTTGCAGATTTCAACAAATTATTAAAAAATTGATCAAATTATATACTTATATTAATAAATCGTAGTATATATTGTTTCAACAAAGGTGAATATAGATCATGAACTTTTATTAACAATAATAATAATGTATTTATATAATATAAGCAAACATAAATATGCATATTATATGTATTTCATAGCATAAATCACCCCAATGATAATAAACCCAGGTCTAATACCAGAGTATGGTTTAAGATAAAAAGTAAAAAACTCAGATCTATAACATATTTTATACCAATATATATGATGCCTTAGGTTTTATATATATTTTTGTATACAAGATTCTTCTTAGCAATAGACCTTTTTTAAAAGACCCTAGGGGGCATAAATCAGTTTTTTGATAGGTTTAAAGAAAGAGACTTCAAGTATATATAGTGAGATATGGTAGATTTAAACAAATTGAATGAATAATATATATCTACTATATATTAATAAATCGTAAAAAGACTTCTGAATAAAGCACCTGAAATTTAGACTAATCACTAGAATTTGAACAAAATGATAAAATTATATTAACAAATTGAAAAGAAGCTTATTTTTATTTAAAGACATAAAAACTTACTAAATATTGGTATAGAGAAGTGCTTGTGGATTTATTGTGCTTTTTAAATTACCATGATCAGCAAATTTCATGTATCACACCAGGAATCAGGAATCTAGAAAAAATGCCAATCTATAATTCCTAGTAGGATACATGAAACTTGCAATTTGAAAAGTGCAATAACTAGACAATAAAATACCAATTTGAATTAGATTACTTATCGTAATCGAGCACTTGAGTAAAAATTTATGAAGTATCTTCAGGTTCGTATAGCAAGCATTGATGCTTTTTTAAAATGGACCTTGACTTAAATATCTGCTATAAACATTCTTCTATGTATTAATTTCATATTCACAAACATGAAAGTTTATAAAATTTAAGACCTACTCAGTAACAAAATGTGTATTTTCTATTAATTGTAAATTGAATTAGTCTATTATCTCATCAGGTTATTATTGTAAATACAAATTCTGGACTAACAAGTAAATAAGTTGAATTCTTACCTGGGTAACACTTTAGCACTATAGATATCTGATCTCTTATCATGTTTATCTTCTTGCCTAAAAAGGCACTGAGGTTTGATATATGCTAGCATTCTATGAACAATCAAGTTTGAGGTCATAAATATTGTTTATTTCTAAAATCTGCAATTTTAGGCTGTTTTTGATGAATTAAAATATTCTTCAAATGCTATGAAATATGCCAAAGCATTAATTGCTATAAATAAAATACTAATTTGAATTAGAATTACTTACCATTATCGATCGCTTAAGTAAAAATTTTATAAAGTACCTTCAGGTTCATATAGCAAGTATCAATGCTTTTTGAAACAGATAATTACTTAAATATCTGATATCTGATATAAACGTTCTTCTATACATTAATTTCGTATTCACAAGCATGAAAATTTATGAAATTTAAAACCTACCATAGTGCATTGACCAAAGTTCCTGGGGTACAATACAATCCTCCTAAAAAAAAAACTTACAAAAGACCCAGGTCTATTGCACCATTACAGGTTTGTATCGCAAGGAAGAAAAATTTTAAGAATATACATATTCTGCATTTACAATAAGCAGTTTAAAATTTAAAAAAAACTCATATTTAATTAATAATGATCTCATGTTTTTGCGCAAGGTATTTTGCAAGGGGGGTACTTTGGTCAGTGCACTATGGTACTCAGTAACAGAATGTGTATCTTCTATTATATATAAATTGAATTAATCTATCATCTCATCAGATTATTATTGTAAATACAAATTCTGGACCAACAAGTAGATGAGTTGAATTCTTACCTGAATAGCAACAGTTATGACTCCAGCACTATAGATATCTGACCTCTTATCATATTTATATCTTGCCTAAAAAGGCACTAAAGTTCGATGTATGCTAGCATTCCATGAACAATCGAGTTTGAGGTCATAAATGTCTTGTTTATTTCTAAAATCTGCAAACTTAGACTGTTTTTAATGAATTAAAATATTCTTCAAATGCTATGAAATATACCAAAACATTAATTAAATTAGAATTACTCACCCTAATTGATTGTTTGAGTAAAAATTTTATAAAGTACCTTCAGGTTCGTATAGCAAGTATTAATGCTTTTTTGAAACAGATTTTTACTTAAAAACAAATATGAAAGTTTATGAAATTAAGATCTACTCAGTAACAGAATACCAGGTTATTATTGTAAGTACAAATTCTGAACTAATAAGTGAATAAGTTAAATTCTTGCCTGAATAGCAACAGTTATAATTCCAGCACTATAGATATCTGACCTCTTATTATATTTATATTCTTGCCTAAAAAGGCACTGAGGTTCGATATATACCAGCATTCTACATATGAACAATCGAGTTTGAGGTTATAAATGTCTCATTTATTTCTAAAATCTGTAATCTTAGGCTGTTTTTAATAAATTAAAATATTTTTTGAATGCTATGAAATATGTTAGAATATTAATTACTGTAAATAAAATTCTTAAACATATAAAATAATATACTTACAAGATCTTTATGAATAATATTGCTATTGCATAAGAACAAAAAGATCGATTAACAGACGCCTTATAAATTATCTAAATAAGTACAAACTCTATATAAATGTATTTCTGTTATAGTGAATAGTTGTAAATAGTAGAGTATAATTGGACAGCAAGATAGAATTTTGAAAAAAGGTATAGTTTCGCAAAACTTTTTCTAGTCATCTTATTTTTATTTATTTTTTTTTCTACTATTAAAATCTAAAGTAGAAACATAATATTGAAGGTTTTCTAATTCTAAAACCTTCTAACATATTCTAAGTTTTTTGTTTTGATTAAATGGAGATTGAATTTTATTATAAGTATAATAAAGAATACGATTTTTATATTCTAAAATTTCAACTACTGATGCTTTGCGATGTAAGGGGCTTTCACTATTTTTTAAAGTTTTGCGAAAAAATAAAGATACATGATCATGATTTTTACGTTCCACAGCTGCACATGAAAATGTCTTGATTTCCTACCTTCAGTGCTTTTGCATTAACTCCTATCCATGATATACAAAAATATGTATATATGGTGTTACTTGATTCAGAAGGTACAAACTATCAATAGCATGGTTTGGGTTAGTTAAAACACTGTGAGAAGGTGTTAAAAATAAATTTAACCAAGAAAGTGCATCTTTTTTAAATTGAAGAAGATCTGTTTCTTGATTACAAAATGCTTGATATAAAGTATCGAATTGATCCCATAATTGATGAATAAGTTTTGTGCAACTAGGATGGAATAAAACACTAAGATTAAATGATCGCAAAACTTTTAATTTGTCTTTACCCATAAGTGAAGTATAGTTCCAAATATGAGATTCATGATTTTCCTAAAACTCAAAAGACACACCAATTCTTTTCATCTCATCAATAATAATTTTTCGAAATATATCATTAAATAATCCACGAGCCTTAATTTCTGCAATTACTAAAATCCAAAGTCTATCAAATATTTGAAGCAAAACATGAAGTTCATCGCAAATCCAATTTTCAAATAGAATTATGTCAAATAGAGGTGCATTAATATGACTGTTTATATTATTCTAATTTAATCTAAGCTAATCCATTGTTTTAGTAATTCTCTAGTCTGCTTATGTATTTTCATACTAATTTTTATTAATATTACACCAAGGACAAAAGTAGGTAGAATTGGTAGCATTTAGACCAAGACATATTGAAAGAAATTTTAAATCTGCACTAAAATAAAACTCAAAATTCCAGCATGTTTTTTCTATTTGCAATCCATTTTTTTTTAAAAACCATAAATCTTCTAATAAAGTACTTAATATAAACTTTAATGTTTTATATTTTTCAGCACCTGGATATAATGTTGTTGTATAATGAAAGTCTGATTCATGGTGATGTTTGATATTATTTAAAATCATAAATGTAACCATTACGTGTTTAATCTTATGACCAACATTTCTACCATCACCTGAAATTCGCAAGTGAACAACTGAATCAGTATATTCTAAAGTATTACTTTGTTCTAAATATGGTATAATGTAATTAAGAAGATCCTTAATACTATGTTGTATACCAATTCTAGTTATGTTAATTATTTTCTGTTCAATTTTAGGATTTGTAGAATCTTTTTCAACTTCTAAATAATCAAGATTTACTTGCATAATTTTTATATTGACTCCCATTTGTTTATTTAATAATATATATTCATTAGATACTGCATCTTCACGTGGAATTGCAGGAATAACTGTAGCTATTTGTCAGTAACTTTTTCATGAAACTTTACCCTTATTTAGAGCCTGAACGACAGCTAATTGATGTTGTTTTGTTTGAATTAAATTTTCTTTTCCAAAATCAATATGAAAATTATAGTTATTAATAGAATAATCTATAGCTTTCATACTAATATGATCCTCCTTTGAATAATAATTTTGTGATGCAGATTTTAATAATTCAAGTGCTTGATTTCTAAATCTTTTTGCTCATTTAATAATCGTAGAATTACTACAGTTTTCAATAGATTTTAATTCTCTATTTTTTGTTTTATGCGCTTTTTGTACAGATTCAAGTTGCAATCCAAATATTAAAGTTCCTGACTATGCTGTTTTAGAATTTGGATTTATAGCCTATAAACATTATATAGATTAGGTTTTATTTATAATATACATAATAAATTTAAAACAAATTAATTTTTTATACCTTTTCCCACTTATTAGCGACTGAACTTGAAGATGTAAAGCTTACTTTGTGCTCAAAATTTTCACCATAAGAAACATGAAAAATCAGTTGATTATTTTTATAGTTTATATGACAGT